CGGCTCGAATTGGTAAGGTACAATCGATACCATCTTTTCTATGTATTGACAAGGGCTCCAGGGCTGTCATTCCGTCATGGCAATGGGCTTTTCGCTTCCGACACGCGCTGTACGCGGTAGACCAATCCAGAGCCAAGCTCTCTACGGCTCTGGACCAATCACAAAGGACTGCGCCATCTGACCAATCACAGCAGTGAGGGCTCACGGAAAGGAGGGGTTTAGAGAGACTGATTCTTTGAACTGCTTCGCACGAGTCGTTTACGAATCATTTAGAAATGAGGTAAAATTAAATCTATCTACGGCTCTGGACCAATCACAAAGGACTGCGCCATCTGACCAATCACAGCAGTGAGGGCTCACGGAAAGGAGGGGTTTAGAGAGACTGATTCTTTGAACTGCTTCGCACGAGTCGTTTACGAATCAGTTAGAAATTAGGTCAAATTAAATCTACTTTTTGAGAAAACTAACGTGTTTTTTGACCTCGCATGCATGTAAACCTGTTTTAGGAGACTCATAAAACAATATTAACAACCTTAAAAATGGCATAATAGGGGCACTTTAAATTAAATAAAAGTCTTCATTTTTATATTAATAATATTTTTGCTGCTGTATATGTATGGTTTGCATATAAAGTGATTTGACTTTGATACATTTTATTTAACTGGTTTAGCTGATTTTCCTGGTGGACTTTTTAAGTATGCATGCAAGCTTTTTGGCCTCAAAATGTTTAAAATAAAATAAAATGATAAAATATATTAAAATAATAATGTGTTTTTAATGCATTATTAATAAACTAAATTATTAATAAAGTACATTAGAAATAATCATATAATATAACATTTTATAATAAAAAATATTAATTTATAAAATAAGTTAATATGCATTTGCTCCAGTGGATTCTGAAGATTGCATGCATGGGCTAAAATTTTCAAAATTAAATTAAAATAAATTATATTACAGCTATTTTTTTTCAATGCATTATAAAAATAAAATCATTCTTACTGTAAGACTATGTAACATAAATTTAAAGTAATAGTAATTGTAAGCTAATTATATTGCGCTACAGAGTAAACATGGTATGTCACAATGCTGTTGTACTGTATTGCTACACACCCAAAAGCATGCATTTCCCTTTTTGTTTATTTCTGCATGTTATGTGTTTTCTTGCATTTAGGTCCCAACTGCCAGACAAATATTAACGAGTGTGCGTCCAACCCCTGCCTAAACCAGGGCACCTGCATCGACGACGTGGCCGGATTCAAGTGCAACTGTATGCTGCCTTACTCAGGTACAAACACACACGTAACAGCCATTGTACAGCTGGTTCTTGTTTTGAAACGGCAGGTTTTGCAGAGGTGTGTGTAAGAATGTCAGGGGACGTCATATAACAGCACTGTGTCGAGGGTGGCCACTCAAATAGGCCCATTTCCTGTTTGGCCCCTTCCTGTTTCCTGTTGAGGCAAAGAATTGACAATAGAAGGAAACGCCAAGTGACTTCCTGCTTCAGCTGGTCATAATGGAAACAGATAAGGAAGTGCCTGCAGGAACTGAGTTGGAAAAATGAGCCAATAGAAGAGCGAAACTGAGATAACAAAGAATCAACAGGCTTTTTGCTCATTTTCTGCATTGATTTTGAGGAAAAAAACTGCAGAATTCTGGGTGGATTTAAACATGGTCAAATGTTTAATATACTTTTACTGGTAGCAGAAAACATTCAAATTAGCCAAAATATTTAATAAACAAACATTCAGGGGATGTACAGTATGCTTTTGCAGTGTTTTCCTGCCTGTATCAGTGTTATTTTGGTATCATGCATATACTATTGTAGTCAACAAATTTTTTTTAAGTAAAAAAATGTATTTTAGCATCTGTTGAATTTCTTTTATATTTTTATATTTCTATGTTTTATTTATATTTTCAGTTTTTTATTATTTTATATTTTCAATTATTTATTTTATTTCAGTCTTAGTAATTTAATAAGTTTTAACAACTTGTTGTGTATTGTTTTAGTCATTTTAATTAGCTTTTGTTTTGTTTTAAAAAGTTATTTTAGTATAATTTGAATTATTTATTTTTACTATTTAAATGTTTAATAATTTTGTTATATCGTTTTAGTTTAGTTTTTCATTAGTTTTTATTTGTTTGTTAATGTTATTTTAGTATTAAATAGTATTGAATAATAGGTTTTTTTATTTTTATATTTTAGTTTTTTTATTCATTTTACACTTATAGCAGTTATACTCTAGTTAAAGTTTTTATAATTTTGTGTTGTCATTTTTTTGTTTGTTTTTGTTTTATAAACATTATTTTAGTAATAAAAGTAATAAATTAATAATTATTTAGTAATAAAATAAGTTTTTTATTTTATGAATGTTTATTTTATTTCAAGTTGATATAATAATCCTGGCCTATATGTAAATTTCGCATCAGTTTTGACACTTTGACACAATGTGTGTTTCAGGCGAGGTGTGTGAGAGCGTTTTGGCTCCCTGTGCTCTGCGTCCTTGTAAGAACGGAGGTGTCTGTCGCGAGTCTGAGGATTTTCAGAGCTTCTCTTGTGCTTGTCCTGCTGGATGGCAAGGTAAGAGTGTGTGAGATTATGTGCATTTCATGTTCTCTGCATGTCGTGATCTTCATCATAACTGCTGTCGTCTCACTACAGGTCAGACGTGTGAGGTGGATATTAACGAGTGTGTGAGGAATCCTTGCACTAACGGAGGAGTGTGTGAGAACCTGCGTGGAGGATATAAGTGCCGCTGCAACCCCGGATTCAGCGGAGATCTGTGCCAGAACGACATTGACGATTGCGCGCCAAGTAAGACACGCAGAACACGCACAAACCTAGACAGCATTTCTGGGCATCATAGAACATTAGATGGTGCTCGTTATCCCTATAATGCTGTCTACATGGGCCGCTTTCTTACTTTTAACATTTTATAATCACTCTGTGATGTTTTATGCTATCTTCAGTAATGTAATTGCATTTGTTTTTCTTAGTTTAATGTGCTTTATTGTACATTTGTATTACTACAGCAGTACAAATGAAGAAAAAGAAAAATAACAAGTCCAAATGGTAAAATAAAATGCTTTCTTACTTTTAACATTTTAATTCACAGAGTGATTACTTTTAATCACTCTGTGATGTTTTATGCTATCTTCTGTAATGTAATTGCATTTGTTTTTCTTAGTTTAATGTGCTTTATTGTACATTTGTATTACTACAGCAGTACAAATGAAGAAAAATAAAAAATAACAAGTCCAAATGGTAAAATAAAATAAGGTAAAAAAGGTAAATCAAATTAAATTTAAAAAATAAAATAAAAAAATGAAAATTTTATAAAATGTTGCTTTATTTTAAAATAAAAATATTTAATTATAATTAATGTGTTTTATAGTGCATTTGTTGCTAAAGTCGTGCAAATTAAGAAAAATAAGTGCAAATGACAAAATAAAATTATTGTAAAAGAAAATTTAATGAAAAAATGTAAAGAATAAATTAATAAAAAACTGAAAATTAAATAAAATTATTTAAAAATGTAATATTTCATGTGCTTTATTTGCACTGTTTTAATAATACAAATGTACAAAAAGCAATATAACAAGGGCAAATGTAAAAATTAGGTTAAAAATGTAAAATTAATGTAAATGCAGAAAATGAAAAAAAAAATGCTGTTTCTGGATTGACCTAGTAATACTAAAGTACAATAAAGCAAAAGAAAAAAGAAAAAAATGAATGTAAAAAGAAAAATTTAAAAAAGAAAATTAAATAATAATGTAGTTTCATTTTTAAAATAAGGTATGTAACACAAATAATTAACAAAAAGGAAAATATTATGTGGCAACAAACAGAAGTTATTAGTAGTAAAGAAAGACTGAATATGGCAGTGATGGCAATTCTTCTCTCTCTCTCTCAGATCCGTGCAGTAACGGCGGTATGTGTCAGGACCGTGTGAACGCCTTTGTGTGTGTGTGTTTGGCTGGTTTCCGTGGTGAGCGCTGTGCAGAGGACATCGACGAGTGTGTGAGCGCCCCCTGCCGAAACAGAGGGAACTGCACCGACTGCGTCAACAGCTACACCTGCAGCTGTTCTGTAGGATTCAGCGGCATCAACTGTGAGATCAACACACCCGACTGCACTGAGAGGTACGCACACGACACGTTTTCAAATGCATTTTAAATTTGTTACTTTTACTTGCATTAATTTATTTTTCGCTTGCATACAAGCAATCTCAATCTGTGTTGTTTCTCCTCTCCAGCTCTTGTTTTAATGGCGGAACATGTGTGGACGGCATAAACTCTTTCTCATGCGCGTGTTTGCCGGGATTCACTGGGAATTACTGCCAGCATGACGTTAACGAGTGCGACTCACGGCCGTGTCAAAACGGAGGCACCTGTCAGGATGGATACGGCACCTACAAATGCACCTGTCCTCACGGATACACCGGACTCAACTGCCAGGTACACAAACACACGCTGTTTTTGCTCTCTAAATGAGTCTAAAGGAATATATAAATTTATTTATTTATATAAATATATTTAATTAGTTTACATAGTTACATTAACATTTTTATATTTTATTTATTTTTACATAAAGTGGTGTATATTTTTTTTAATATTATATAAACAATATATTTTATATTGTTATTTTTTTCCCTTTAATTTTTAGTAGTATATTTTCATGAAATAGATATATTTGGTGCATGTTTTATTTCCTGACGCTTGTGCGTTTCAGAGTCTGGTGCGCTGGTGTGACTCTTCCCCCTGTAAGAACGGTGGCTCATGTTGGCAGCAGGGGGCTTCTTTCACCTGCCAGTGTGCCAGCGGCTGGGCCGGCATCTACTGTGGCGTCCCCAGTGGCAG